GTGTAGTTTTCCACATGCCGCCATCTGAAGTGAGAAATTGTGAAGATCTGCTTGCAGCAGGTACCAAACGAGTACTAGTTTCTTAATTTAAAAACTCAATCCTGCAAATGTTAGCAATCCAAGTATTTACTACCAGCAGGAACAGCGCCACTGACTAGCCACAGTAGGTAGTACTCATTTGAAGAGCATACTAATAGGCAATCATTGATCCTTCTGGATATGTGAGAGGTCGCCAGGACTTTAGATGTGTACATCTAAGCAGGAGTAAGGAGCGGAGGCTGCCCAGACCTTCCATCCCCTCTTTAGAGCATTGAAACTGGCCAAAGGCCGGATCAAGCCCAGACATTCAGTGCCTCAATGGTTGTAGTTATATACTCGTCTAGGAATGGAACCTGGGTCTCCTGTGTGGCAGACAACAATTATACCACTGACCCGTGCCAATGGGTTAAGGAGCAGACCCTAAACAATAAATACACAGGGGGACACGGGGAGCAGAAGCACAACAAATACCCCATGCCACCCCGAAGAATTATGTCAAACAATAATTCCAAAAAACAACTTTTCTTTAATACACAAAGGGCTGAAGACATCCCATTCACATGGAGAGCCCAAATGGACGCTGCATCTGAGAGCCCCCACAGCAAAGAAACTACTAACATTTTTGGGAAAGATCTCAACAGCAACCAGGCGGGCTGGATGGAAGCACAGCAGTTGGGCAATGCAAAATATCCAAGTAACAGCACTGCAAATTACTCTGGGGATCCAGTGCTTCCACTCAATGCTGCAAATCCTTTTACCATTTTTAAACAGCTACCTAACCAGGCCCTATCACCCCCCAAAAAGTAGAAAAATTCATATAAAACTTACTTAGTGCTCGGGAATGATCTGGGTTTCTGATACCTTTCATTTTTAACCTCTGCAACAGCATGGCTGACGTAAGCTGACGAACAAGGTATACAGACATAGAGTAGTTCTGCAAAAGGGTGAAAAGTGACAAGCTGAAACGACTTGATGGCATTCAATACCGACAAACGTAAGGTACTCCACCTTGGGGGAAAAACAAAAAACAAACCCGCAGCATGCTTATAGGCTCGGCAGTGCTACGCTCACTAGCACCAAGGCCGAAAGAGACTCGGGGTCATGACTGACCACAAGATGAACATAAGCCACCAATGCGATGTTGCAGCTGGTAAAGCAAACCAGACTCTGGCTTGCATCCATAGATGCTTCCCAAGTAAATCTCAGGATGTCATCCTCCTGCTGTACTCGGCCTTGGTGAGGCCGCAGCTGGAGTACTGCATCCAATTCTGGGCTCCACAACTCAGGAAGGATGTCAAGAAGCTTGAGAGAGAGTCCAGAGGCGTGATGCACATGATCAGAGGGTGAGAGAACAGGCCTTATGAAGAGAGAGGCTGAGCCATGGGACTCTTCAGCCTGGAAAAGACAGGCTCAGGGGTGACCTGGTGGCTGCCTATAAGTGCATCAGGGGTGTGCATCAGGATCTGGGGGAATGTCTGTTCACCAGAGC